TCGTTTCAAAGTTACGTGATTCATGCCCAGTTGCAACAAATGAGTCCATACATATTTATGTACATACATAGGTACAAAGCCGTATGCATGTGTGGAATTTTAACAAACGGAAGTAATAATCAATTCTAGCGCATTTCTTCTTAATATGCATATGCCTAAATGTATGCAACCATTTGGCAAGCAAACACAGGGTGCTTCTAATGAAAATAAAAATTGTATGCTGAAATACACATGCTAAGCCCTTCGAAATTTTGTGCTGGGATATGCGTTATAGCTTCGCAAATTTTACTCCTACCGAAACCAAAGATGTATACACATCAAAAATTTGCATCGATAACTTAAAGTTGTGATACACAATGGGTAGAGGCCTCGCACTATAGGCAAAACACGAGTTTTTCAAAATCGTAGATCTTCGCTTAGAAAAGAGATAATGGAATGAAAATTTTTTTATCGTGAAGATAAATGATCATATAATATAGGAAAACTATAGAGAAGTTATAACAACAATAACTTAACCCCCAAAATACCGTTCAAAATGTCACTTTTTTTTTTAATTTTGGATTTTGGCTCCCATTCCACTAGAAAACACTATATTTAATACACCATTAGCACTGTTTCTGAAAGATTTTTCTTTATTTTATCTTAAGACTCGATTCTTGGGACATTGGATGCTGTATCCGAGTGGCCAGATTGGAAAAAGAAAAGCTACCTTTAAACTCTAATAACTCGTGAACTATCAGCTTTCACAAAAAAATGTATATAACAAAAATGATTATACTGGTCGATATCTTTACGAAAGTGCAGCAGTTAACCCTTTAATGCAGAGTCTGTCATATATGAAACGCTTTTTAACCCTTTCAAGGCAGAGGCAAAATGGTTCTCAATATGTTTTTGATGTGTATACATCTTTGGTTTCGGTAGGGGTAAAATTTGCGAAGCTGTAACGCATATCCCAGCACAAAATTTCGAAGGGCTTAGCATGTGTATTTCAGCATACAATTTTTATTTTCATTACAATTGATTGTTACTTCCGATTATTTAAACTCCGCACATGCATACGGCTTTGTACCTATTAGTCTATTTTGATAAAAAAGCAAGGCGAAAATTAAAGAAAAAATACTGAAATCATTTTAACTGGAACCGTTGATAACTGATGAACATACATGAATATATGTATGTATAATATGCATATGTATGGATGATATAATAGCTCTGATCCAATACTTTTCGTGTAAAATCCTGGAAAAAGGTCAAACAGCAAAATCACTCTCTGAAGTGAGAGTAAAAAGTGAGTAACAGCAAAACGTATGGAACAAAAAAGCATCGGGTAAAATCCTGCAACGTTAACTGCATTTACATGAACCACAGATTATATTCCAAAAAGAAAAACTAAATTTGGGAATATATACAAATAGAAATGCTCAAACTATAAGCTCAAAAACTTTCATGTATTAAAAGAATTAAAAATGAAAATGAATAAAAAATTAAATCAGAAAAATGAATAAAATTAAGGGAAATTAATGTTTAATTTCTAGCCTAACCTACATGTGTATGTATGTAACTGAATGGCCTAATAATAGCTTTACATATAAGAAGATTATCCTAATTTTCGAGCTACCCTAACTAACTCCCTAATCTGTTATTAGAACAAGTAATTTTTAGCAAAAAAAATGCCGACTTAAAAAAAAATATGATCCAATGATCGGATGTTAACCAAATTAGTATGGGACCACCTCTGAGACACTACCTTTCTGTTGAAAAAGAATTATTGAAATCGGTTGACATGGTGAAAAGTTATGCGGTAATATACATAAAAAAAAGGCGTGAGTACTAGGTACTCATGAAATTTGATGTGTATACATATGCGAACGGCAAAGCATAAAAGTACGTTTACATATAAATATAATCTCAATCAAAGCTCGTTAGCCGTCAAATTGGTTGTTCTTGTTATTCACACAACTCGAGGAAAAGTTAAACTTCTTCTCTGTGCCACCGTGGTCACTTTTCTTTTGCAACACATATTAGGCCATTTAAATATATTTTAACTGCATATTTTATTAAAAATACCTTTACAAACCTATTTTCCTTACTAGCGTCAATTTTTGTTTACTTTAACATCTGACATTCCTCCTCTTCTTCGCAAGTATAACCGATAAAACTTGGTTGGACACCGAAAAGTTATCGGTTTAATCTGAGATATTTTTAGTTATAATTTTGTATGGCTAATCTCTTTTTCTAATAACAGATTAGGGAGTCAAGCTCGAAAATTAGGATAATATTTTTATATATAAAGGCGATTCAGTTACACACATACAAATGTAGGTTAGGTTAGAAATTAAACATTAATTTCACTTAATTTTATTCATTTTGCTGATTTAATATTTTTATTCATTTTCATTTTTAATTCTTTTAATACATGACATTATCGGTATGATTGATAAAATATACTTGATTTTTTGGCACCCATATGGTTATACATACATACTTCTCTTACCTATTTCCTTTAATTCAAATTGAATTTGTTTTTTAAACAGGCGGCAACCCTCCTATAGTTAAGTTAAAAAACAAAGCTTTTCAAAAATATTTCGATTAATACCCATTTTGAATAACTAATACATTTATTTTAAATAATTTGAATATAGATAAGTTTTTAAAAGGTTGCAACTCTTTTCAAAATAAATCTTTATTGCACATCTACAGCCCGAGCCCTTTAATTTTACACCATACTTTTGAAACTCGAACGAACAGTACGGATCTGATGGTATTGATTATAGAAAAATTTGATTTTAATTGTTCAACAGGTGGCAACTCTTTTTGAAAAACATAAAATCAGTTTGCACATCTGCAGCCCAAGCGCTTTAATTTGACACCCCATTTTTGAAAATCGAACGAACGGTGCAGATCTTTTATGCGGAATAAAAAATGCCTTCGCGTATTATATATGTATATAGATTATTAATATATGTGACCTGGTCTACGGAAAGGGGGCTTAGGTGTCAAAAAATCAATTTTCACTTTTTGGTTGATTCGGATGGAAGATGAGTTGCTTTTTCACGTGGTGAAAAGCAGAAAATCCTAACTTGCTTAGAAGTGTACTAAAAATGTAGAGAAAGAAGAGTAAAAATACGACAAAATATAATTTATT